GTTTTTCAATTCTCTGTGTGTTTTGAGCTTCAGCCTGTCTCTTATACACATCTAGATGTGTATAAGAGACAGGCCTACGGTAGTCCGGTCACGATTTATGGCAAAGCAATCTCCCGACTCGTTGGAATTTCTTTGGCCAGGGAAAGGAAAAAACAAAAAAAAAACGAAAAAAAAAAAAGGAAAGATTGATTAGCATGCAGGGAAAAGAAAAAACAAAAAAAAGCAGAGTGATTAGCATGGCGTGCAAAAAGGAAAGAAAACAAGATTGATGATCACGGGGTCTGCGCATTTATGGATAAGCCACGCGAAAACAAGAAAGTGTACAAATTTCTGGGGAAAAAGAGAATTGCACAGACTCCGCTACCCCCAGCTGGACAAGATAGGAATTCTTTTGGGCTGAGACATCTCAATGGTCTCAAATAATTTTCGACCTCCTTTTTTTTTTTTGATAAGCAAAGCAGATACAGCATCCAAAAAAAAAAACCCATTTTTTGGAATTCATTATAGTAATTCGTGGCCTCTCTACAGGTGCGCAGTTCCACTGGTAAAGAGGGTTGGATTTGATGCCTGAATCTGGACATGTTCGTAGAGAGGTGCAGGAAAATGACGATTGTTCCTTCCTGCATCACGGCATGAAGCACATCAAGATTGAGGCACTGAATCAAATCCTCTTTGCTACAGGGACTGCGCCCCAGGGGCTCGCACCCCACTTTTTTAGTTTTTTTTTTAAATTTATTTAATTTTCAGCAACTGAGATCTCGAATGTGGTTCCCGTTAGTGAATTCCAAGATTCACAATTTGCACCATCGTAAATGAGAAGAATGAGTACAATTATATGAATGAATACAATTATATGTCATCATAATCATCATAATGGTCATCATCTTTTGAGCGCTTGGCATGCTGCTACGACTTTTCAGTCCATGATTGCAATTATATGTCTCCATCATCATCATCATCATCATCATCATCATCATCTTTTGAGCACGTTGGTGTGCCGCTATGACTTTTCAGTGCAAGCTGCGCGCCAAGTGTATCTGGACGTGGTCGTAGAGAGGTGCAGAAAAATGGTGATTGATCCTTCCTGCATCACGGCATGAAGGACATCCAGATTCAGGCACTGAATCGAATCCTCTTTGTTACAGGGACTGCGCCCCAGGGGCTCACACCCCGCTTTTTTAGTTTTTTTTTTCTTCAATTTATTTAATTTTCAGCAACTGAGATCTCGAATGTGGTTCCCGTTAATGAATTCCAAATTTCACAATTTGCACCATCGTAAATGAAATCATAATCATCATAATCGCAAATGTCATCATAATCGTCATAATCGTCATCATCTTTTGAGCGCTTGGCGTGCCGCTACGACTTTTCAGTCCATGATGCAATTATATGTCTCCATCATCATCATCATCATCATCATCGTCATCATCTTTTGAGCGCGTTGGCGCGCCTCTATGACCTTTCAGTGCAAGCTGCGCGCCAAGTGTATCTGGACATGGTCGTAGAGAGGTGCAGGAAAATGACGATTGATCCTTTCTGCATCACTGCATGAAACACATCCAGATTCAGGCGCTTGATCGATATCTCTTTGCCCCAGGACCTCAGAGCCCGCTTTTTTAGTTTTTTGGGGATTCATTTAATGGACTCCGAATTTTGCAATTTTCACGAACCTTAAGTAAATTAGTTTAATTATGTGTCATCATCGTCATCATCATCATCATCTATTGAGCGCATTGGCGTGCCCCTATGAATTTTCAATCCATGCTGCGCGCCACGTGTCTGTAGCGATCTTTCCTTGGAAGCGTTAACGAAAGGTGGTTGACCCCTCACCGTTGCCCATAGCTCTTCTTCTTCTTCTTCCTTGGAAGCGTGAATGAATGGCGATTGATGTGGGCCATAGCTCTTCTTCTTCTTCTTCTTCTTCTTCTTCTTCTTCTTCTTCTTCTTCTTCTTCTTCCTCCTCTTCTTCTTCTTCTTCTTCTTCTTCTTCTTCATCATCATTATCCCTCTCCAGTGCTTGGGGAGTTAATTGCAGAACCATGTGCGAAAGGCAGTGTTTGTACCGACAGGCCGAGGTCAGTTGGTACACCCACGAAGTGCTGAAATGCAGACCCAAGTTCGAATCCACATGCAATCAGATGACCAGATTCTAATCATTCTGAACTACCTGGGGCCGATCAGCTCAATGATGACATCTCAAGGCCGTCGCCCTTTTTTTCCCCCCTAAAGAGAAAAGGCAAAGTTTTCGGCCTCGGTTTATGTCTTGAAGAACACTCACTAAACCGTCCAGATTCAGGAGCTTAACCCAATCCTCTTTTTGGCTAGTTAGCCCCTTCTTTTCCTTCTCCTTTTCCTCCTCCTTCTCTGTCCTTTTTTCCTTCTTCTTTTCCTCCTTCTCCTTCATCTCTTCATTCTCCTTTTCCTTCTTCTTCTCCTTCTTCTTCTTCGTCTTCTGAGATTATTACATGCCCGGGGCGAGGTCCCACTAGCAAAGAGGATTGGATTAAGCTCCTGAATCTGGACGTGGTTTGAGAAGAGAGACAGAAAAGCAGTTTAATCTTGATTTCCTGCATCGCTCCACAAACACGTCTAGATTCAGGCGTTCAGTCCCTGTTTGCTAGTGGGACCTAGCGCTCGTCGTTGTGATGCTTGTCATCGAGTGCACGGACGAGAAGCAGCCTATCACTATCAATAGTAGGCACATTTTTCATAGAGTTTTTTTTTTTTTTTTTGTAACACACACACACACACACACAGCCCCTCCCATTCTGGGGGCCACTAGTTAGGTTGCTTATCACCGGCAAGCACAACCAAAGTTGTTGACTGCTAGACTGTTTTTATAGGTGGACTTTTTCATAGTCCGCCTACCACTTGACGAACAGTCTATATTACTCTATAGGCATAGTACGCACTTCTCTGTTTCTTTCATTTAGTCGGACATCCTATCCCTGTCAGTGCGGGTAAGAGGCGTTCACAAGCCGTGCATGTGCTATGCAGGGGGATGTAAAAATCCTAGGGCCAGTGAAAAAGATACAGAGGTGGGGAACGGCGTATCGGGACTAAAATTGTGAACTGAGAACTGGTCCATGTCTGTCGATGCTTGTACGAGAAGCAGTCTTTACCACTCACTATTGCTATTACTACCGTAGCTGTTTCTAGCACTACGTAGCTTATGGTTGGTTATTACCACGACTATTGCTATTCCTTATTACTACTAATACCGTAGCTTATGGTTGGTTATTACCACGACTATTGCTATTCCTTATTACTACTAATACCGCTACTATTGCAATATCTGCATATTATTATTATTATTATTATTATTGTTATTATTATTATTATGATTTATTACAGTTTATGTTTTAACATCCCAGCGTTCGTCCACCGTCCAGAGTTATCCCTCGGCGGTGTAAGGTCTCTCTCTCTCTCTCTCTCTCTCTCTCTCTCTCTCTCTCTCTCTCTCTTGTTATTCCTCATCTCTCTCTCTCTCTCTCTCTCTCTCTCTCTCTCTCTCTCTCTCTCTCTCTTTATTCCTCATTACTACCGTCTTCACCCGAATAGAATGCCCGGTCATTATAGCTGTATTTGGTGGTACTTTCAGTCCAGGTATGGCAATAATTACGGTAGTACTACTGGTTCTATTGCTATTTCTTAACACTACCATTCTCATTACTACTACTACTGCTATTCCTACTGGTACTACTACTACTACTGCTACTACTACTACGGGCATACTCACACTAGGCCCTCAAAACCACAAAATGGCAAAATCAGCGGCCAGATAAAGTCCTTGTGAAAGGAGTCGTCGATCTGGCTGCTGATTTTGGGATTTTGCGGTTTTGAGGGCCTAGTGTGAGTATGCCCTACTACTACTACCACCATCGGCACTTCTTTTGTCCTCTTCTTCTTCTCTCTTCTTCTCTCTCTCTTGCTCTCTCTCTCTCTCTCTTGCTCTCTCTCTCTCTCCTTTCTTTCCCCTATTGTACGCTGCGGGCCAATGGTACTCCAGCGAAGTTGACAACCGAAACTAGTACAATGCTATTCAATCCTGCCTGTGGTTCGTTACCGGCAAGTGTCATGCAATCTGCTCTCTATTCTTTTTGTTTTTTTTTTTGTAATCCATGTACAAGTGCCATTATTTTCTCTGTATGGTTCTCTGATGATGCTGTCTCTCACGGTCGGCTCAAAATGATCGTAGGTCCTTCCCCAGCATGGCTGGGACCTCTTTTCCTTGTATTATTCATTCCAGTGTCTCGTTTCTTTGCGCCTACTTTATATCTTGTATGCCTGAGTTCTTTGCGCCTACGTTATATCTTGTATGCCTTGGTGCATTGCGTGTTTTTTTTTTTTTCCTCTTTAGAAAAGGACAACGGCCTTGCGATATCATGATTTCACTACCTACATAGGTAGTGAAATTATGTCCAAAAAAAAAAAAAAAAGAAAGAAAAATATGTTCCATGACATGGCAGAATGCCAGTTAAAAATATGTGATCTGACCGAAAAATATATGGCTGTCCCCCGATGAGGAGAAGGCAGGTTTGAAAAAAAAAAAGAAAAAAAAAAGAAAAAAAAAAGAAAAGATATCGTCATGTGAACTGAGCGGCCCTAGGTAATTCAAATTTGCAGGTTAAAAAAGAAAAAAGAAAAAAAAAAGAAAAGATATCGTCATGTGAACTGAGCGGCCCTAGGTAATTCAAATTTGCAGTGTCTTACTCATCTGCTTCCTCTGCTTCAAGTGGAGTTCGAACTCAGATCTGTATTTCTACAATTCAGTCCAGGGGGGGTGTACCACCAACTGAGCTAGGCCAGTTGGTGTGTTTTGCGTTTTTCGCTCTCTTTCTCCTTCTCTTTCTCCCTTTCTTTCTCCCGTTCCTTCTCCCTCTTTCTCCCTTTCTTTCTCCCTTTCTTTCTCCCTTTCTCCTGCTCCATGTTTTTTTGGTTGAGCGTGGGAACTCCCATGAGGGATTTCGCCTGTTGGATTCCTGATATCGGATCCTGGACGAAAAACGGAATTCTCTCAAAACGTTTGGTGTTAATCTGCAGAGTTTCTCCGATTTATAATAGGAGAGGGAGTGCTGGTTTACAACCACCGCTACCTTCCCCATACATCTGCCGCTGGTGGAAAAAAAAGGCGGAAAGCGAAAATGGGCCGCCGGTTATATTTATCAACGGCGGCCTGACCCCGCTTGGCCACCGCGTTACCCTACGCGACTTTGAAAAACCAAGCGGGGAAAGGCACTGGCGGTTTAAGGTTTTGCGCCAAAGGTGTCATGGTTGCAGCGCAGTTGTTCAGGCAAACACTTGTTTTATGTTTTTTTGTTGCGTCCAGAACTTTTTATTTTATTTTATATATATGTAAAAATAACAGTGTGATTCTTGCATTAATAAATCGAAACGAGGCCGGGGACCTCACAATTCAACCCGGAGTACTGACAGCATCAGCCAGCTTAGCTTACAGGCTTACGCCTGCGGAAAGCCCCTACCTCTGACTTTCCAAAACTATCACCAGCTACAGGAACTAAACGAATTTGAGAAACGAACTGAGGCTGCTTTGCCAAGTCAAGAACATCATTTGAATAAAAATAGCTAAATCTGCTTCCTCCCTCTCCTAGTCTATTCCATCTGTACTACTCCGTCTCTCCTACTTCTGGGACTAACTCGGCCCAGAGGACTGCGTCCTGACCCTAAGACACTCTCCTAGCGGCCCACTGTGGCCCTACCCGTACCGAGTGTCCTGGTACCTGAACTCACTTCCTCTAAACTAAACTAGCCGCTGTGTCCTTCACCCAGTTCGACAGTATCAGTCCTTTTCTTGGGTGTACAGCTGCCCAATGCGAGTTTCTTGCCCATGTTCGGTGAAACCATTTCAATTGGCTCCTGCTACCTTTACCTGCCTTCGCCTTCCGCCTCCAATCCACCTGAATTGCATGTTTCAGCCCCTGTTTGATGTTTTTTTTGATTTCCAGATCCGACAGTGGCCTCTGGGAAAACCTTGACCTGTTTCTGTCCGTCCATATGACCTCTGAGATTATACCCCTCGACACATGAGCTACGTAGCCCCAACCATAGGACTTAGGAATGTCCTCTGGGAGAAATCATAGTAGGACCCACTTCTCATCCCAGACTACTCCCTGGCCCCGAAACTCTTTCCAATGGATTGACCACCAACCCCAAATCCTTTTAGAAGCAGGGCACTCCCACCACAGGTGGCGTGTGGACTCGAAAGGCCACCGACATCTCGTGCATCCTAGTTCCACCCTCACTCCTCTGCTTACCAACCACACCGCTGAGGGGGTGACCAGGAGTGATAGCATCCATAAGATGCTGACTTGCTTACCATTTGGCAGGCTGGTCAGAATCTTCCACAGCCTCATGAAGTCCGGACCTGCGTTAGACAGGTCCTCGTTCCAGATCGCCTGCCATCGCCGGATTGCGGTTTGCACAGGGGACTTCCTGTTTCCTAGGGATAGTTTGTACCCAGTGGAAACAGAGTATTCCTGTAGGTACAGTCGAGAGCCCTTTGCTGCCACCTCCGATCAGTTCCAAGCCATTGGATCTATACTCAATTTCCTGAGTGGGACTCTGCCCACCCAGGTGAAGGTCTGTGAGGTCGGTCTCTTGCCCCCTGTTTCCACCACTCGAACCTGTGGGGGGTTGTCCCAACCAATTACCGTTTCCTCCATCATCAGTGATAAGGCGTTGTTTGGGCCCTCGCACCTCCACTTTTCCACTCTGCGAAAGCCACTGGGTGTGATTTCCAGCACTTTCCAGATTACATTTGTCCCCTCCTCCAGCTCCGAGCTGTACCACGTTCCCACGGGGTCTAGTCCCTCTGGACCCAGCAGTGCTACCCAGCTCTGTGGAATAGCATCAACAAGCTGCTGCCAGTGTTCTTTGGTCCTTTGCAGACCCCGAAGTGACTGCATAACTTCCTCCAATGGTTTCCAGCTTCCAAGCGTCGTAGACCACAGATCAGCAACTCTGGTGATGCCCCTCCTGATCCATGCAAGCCCGAAAGTACCTGTGGCACCATCCGCCGCGAAGGATTGGCCGGACTGGTCCACAATCTCTGGGTTTTCGAAGAGAATTTGGGACAGGATTTCCTCTTTGGTTGTTGGTGAGGATTGGGAGTCTGGCGGAGCCTTCGTCCACGCTCTACGGATAGATTCCCAGAACGAGGATTTCAGTCTCTTTTTCCGGAGAGAGGGGATGAACCAGCAGGCCCACACATCTTCAGGCCTACTGAGGTTCCACTCCTCCATCAATATGCATTCTGCCAATGTCACCCAAATCTCTCTCTCATGCTGGGAGGCAACTCTTGCGATCCAGCATCTCAGCTGTGCTTGGTTCCTTTGCCTGGGGCCCATCAGCCCCAGTCCGCCTTCGATTCTCGGGAATGTGATCGTGTCCAGCGCCGCTTTGGATATGAATCCATCGGTGCCTTGTGCTCTTGGCTTCCAGATGAACCAAGAGACCAATCTTTTAATTGCCTTGATCACCCCCCCCCGCCAGCTCCCTTACCATTGTTACGAACCATAGGATAGACAACAGTGCTGCGTTGGTTACCAGCGCCCTGCCCACCAGTGACAAGTGCCAGACGGTACCCCAGATTCTGAGCCTTGTGGTTATTCGTTGCTGTAACTGCATGCCTTGTGTCGAGGCTTCAACCTGCATGCTGATCAGGACTCCCAAGAATCTCTCCTCTTCTCCCCTCTCCACCCGTCTCATTCCCCATTCCACCACCAGTGTGAACTGAGATGGGAGCAAGAATGTTGACTTGCTCCAATTCACTGTGGCTTCCGACAGAGATGTGCACTCGCTCATGGCAGACTTGAGAGCCGACAGAGAGGTATGAGTGTTGACGCTGACTGCAAAGAGGTCATCCGCCAATGCCTTCGCCTTGCATTGCTCCCCGGTGTGTAGTTGCTGACCTCTAATGTCCGGGTGTCTGCGAATTCTGTTCAACAGCACTTCCAACTGCAACACGAAGATAAGGGGGGCCAGCGGGCAGCCCTGTCTCAGCGACCTTGAGATGGAGAATGTCTCCGAAATGTGTCCATTGATCATTACCGCTGATGTGGAATTTGCATACATTGCGATCACCCAGGCGCAGAAACCCTCACCAAAGCCCATGTGACGCAGGGTTGTAAGCACGAAAGGCCAGCCCACTTTGTCGTACGCCTTCTCCAGGTCCAGGAGAAGGACTGCAATGTCGAGCTCCTCCTTTTGTACTATTTCTAACGTCTCAATGGCCGTTACGATATTGTTGAATATCGAACGGCCCTGTACAAAACCCCCTGATCCTTCTCAACGAGCTCTGGTAGGTACTTGGCTAATCTGCGCGCCAGGGATTTCGCTAAGATCTTGTAAGAGACATTGAGCAGGGATATCGGTCGTCAATTTCTCACCTCCGCTTTGTCCCCCTTCTTGAACAGGACCGAGATCACCCCATGGGTCATCCCCTTCCCCAAGCGACCTCCCGTCAGGATTTCGTTGTACACCTCGACAGACGGGGGGGCAAGCACCCCCCAGTTCTTGACGTAGATTTCGAACGTCAGGCCGTCCACGCCAGGCGACTTACCTCTTGCCATTGATTGCAGAGTTTGCTTCGTCTCCTCCACGGTAATTGGTTGGTCCAGGTCTAGCCTCGCCGTGGACTTCAACTTGACTGACGTGTCTGTCCACATGTCGGATATGGTGGAGAGATATGTGTTTACGGAGTCTTGCGGGCGCCTTGTAGTGAGGATGTCTTCGTAGTAGAGTCTTGCGTAGTGCAGCATACCCGACGCAGAATGCGCGTGTGAAGCGGACAGGTCGAAAGGGTGCCGCAGCTCTATCATCTGGTGATGGGTGTAGCTTGGCTGCAACTTTTGGAATGACTCTCTTGTCATTTTATCGTTTGTTTCTATCCCCTTCTCCTTCAGTATCTCCGTCCATCTCTTCTGTTTCTCCTCCTGCAGACTGTCCCATTCCGCTATCCGTCTTTCTCTCTCTGCGGCCCACACCATCGCTGAGATCGGGTGCCCCTCCATCCGGTTTTCTGCTTCCTCAACTCTTCTTCTGCAATCTGCGTCTTTCTTGTTTCTCTCCCTTGCCAGTATTCTAGACATCACGTCCAGCAACCCAGTTGTGATTGCTAGGCCTCCGTCCATCCATTCCGTGTCCAGAACTTTTGAACGTGCCATTTTTTTTATCCGATGACGAAATGGGATGTTGAAATAATTATGATAATTACATAATAAATGGCTTTTTTAATTTTTTTTCTCTTTTTTTCTTCTTCGGATAATAATTTTTGTTATCGGAGGGAAGATATTCATCACCACCCACTTAAACCACCAGTACTTGGCCCAGCTATTGATGTCGAGCCTGAATATGCCCTGTGCGCCGTTTCGTGCCGACCTGCCAGCAAAACAAAAAAAATTGTTTTGGCTGGTGGCGTCAGCCTTTCAGGTCCGGTGGTACCACGAGCCTCCAAAACTTGCGGGGCGTTAATGACAACGCCCCGCGGCCGACATATGGGCCGAGTACTGGTGGTTAAACAGAGCGGCGTCGATAGACACGTCCTTCTGCCGACGATACTTCTCCCTTCCTTTTTTTTTTTTTTTTTTCCCCTGAATCTTTATTCTGGATGTCCTACTTTCATAGGTGGTAAGAGCAGCCTCCCTAACTTAGGGGCATACTCACACTGGGACCTATAATCCCAAATTCCCCCCAACATAGGTAGAGGACCGGTCACACAGATTTGCCAAAGTCCTAAATGTACCATTCGTGTGCCCAGCGGCCTGTGTAGCAGCGGGGGAAGGGAATTTGCGGTCCCCTCTGGAGGTGACCGCAAATGCCCTATTTATTTTTTTGCATATTTTGGTGAAAATTCGTTCAATTTGTGGATGCTGCCGTGTGACCAGCAAAGTACCAAATCGTATTGCTCCAGATGGCTAGGGCCTTGTCCCACCTGAAAAGGTACAGCAGTGCGACCAGAACCATGCCCAAAACCTCGAATTGGCCCATATTTTGCGGATTTGGGGTTGCAGTGTGAGTATGCCCTTAAAGTAGGGTCCCAGTCTGAAGTCTCCGTTCTTGTTCATATCACTCTTCACAGTAGTCACAGCTGGATTATTAAACCACCAGTACCTACCGGGTCTTAAGGCCCATGGCTCAGGCTACCTTTTTTACCGGTCGTTCCCGAGACTCGGACTTTGTTGCCTGTAGTGCAGAAGGAAAAAAGAAGAAAAAAAAAAACACAAATAAACGAGGGCAACAATCTGAAAAAGGAAAAAAAAGAAAAGAAAACAAAATTACACTTTTTCCTACGAGAATGAATCTTCCTCCACAAAGAGGAAGATTCATGAGAGAGAGAGAGAGAGAGAGAGAGAGAGAGAGAGAGAGAGAGAGAGAGA